TTTAATCTTCATCACTTTTGTAATTGTTTTAATTCGGCAAGGGCAACTTGGAAATTATCCAGCAAACTGAAAAGATATGATAAAAAACTTTTAAAGGCGTTCTTCATGAATGTGCATTCAAAAATGTAATGTGCGGTTTTTTTCCACTTGTGCGGAATATGCTATATTATAAACGAGTTCCAGTCTATACTTTTTTTAAGACTAAAATTCAGAAAAACAACTGTTAAGATCGTTTTCGGCTAAAGTTGGAAATATCAATGTTGTTTCTTTAGACGAGTTCTAATGGTGGTTAGAAAATGTGCCAGTTATGTGCAAATACCTGATACACATTTTTCTGTTGAAAAATATATTTTGAACAAAATCAACACATTTTGTGTATTGTTTATTTATAATCTAAAGTTACAATGTTCTGTCTTAACAAAATTTTGATAACTTAGCTTTCACAGCTAACCCCGACTAACCTTTTATCATTCATTGTTATCTGATGGTGTATCGTTTGCGTTATGTCCATGAACATTTAAATGAATTTCAGTCTAATTCTATCTACCATGAATATAATACTAGAAATAAAGACTCACTCATAGTTCCTCACCATCGCCTGAAAAGAACCCAACAAGGTATCGATTTTTGGGGATCCAAATTGTATAATAAATTAAATGAAGAAATCAAGAACTTAAATATAATTCAGTTTAAGAAAAAAGTAAAGACAATGTTGATTAGCAAAAGTTTCTATTCTGTGGAGGAATATATGGACTGTGACTTAAATTAAATATTGAAACTCATATTGTTATAGTATGTTTTTTCTTGTCTTGTTTTTGACCCTATTCTGTAATTTTGATTACGAATAAAGAAATTTATCTATCTATCTATCTATCTATCTATCTGAGTCAAAGAAATTGTTAACTCCTGTGGTTTTCTTGGCCCACGAATCGTTATTAGAATTGTCGGAACTAATTCTTCAAAATATTAGAAAAAAATAAAATCAAAGTAATTGTTTTTCTTACACATTTCCATCATTTTGTGGCCTAGGTCTCTTTTTTGGTAGGACTTTGTTAATTTCTTCAATGGAATTAAGTCGTAAAAAATATAGTTATATGGAAATTCGAACTATATATATTGTCATGTTCCTCGTGGCACATCATTACTTGACTTTGATGAATTATTGCACGTATTACTGC